AAAAAAAAAAAAAAAAAAAAACAATTAAAAAAATAAAAAATAAAAAATCCAAAGATGAAAGACAGTCTAATCTAGCTAGAGCTGATCAAATCATTTTAAGGCGAATGATTGCACTATGTTTGTACTATGTATTGGTAAACTGACTGATCGATCAGTGGTTGGCATCCAAGGAATCTATAGTTGATAAAAGGATTGGTGTCGAGTTCACGTTGTTCAGGAAGACAACGACACGGCTCCCTGGTGCGTGAGCCGGCATTCATGCCAGGCAGTTTCAGTGACACGATCTAGTTCTTTTGTGCGCGGAATATTACATATCACAGTTCTGTAAGCACGAGGTACTGTAGTCCACATTAGTGCACAACTGACGGCTGCTCTTCGCCAACGTTAATCCTACCCTGCAGAATTAGAGGTAAGATGGAACCAATGCCTTCAGGGTTAATTGTTTTGAAAAGTTCAATGTTAAGGCAGGGGGCAGAGATGTATGATATTTAGAACTTGAGACCTTGAAAAGTCGAGAAAAGGGAGTCATGTTGTCAATGAAAACACACTGGAATTTTAGGTCTTGTGTCTCTTAAACAAGAACTGTTTATGTAGACTCAAGAGCGCTGGATGTACTTGAAATACATGGACAGCACAGCACCGCGGGTCCGACTGCGGTATTCACATCGGGTGAATCCACGCTAACATTAATCTGTTAATGAGTCTTTGAAATAAGTTAACTGACTGTGAGAAGACTTTGGATGTAATATAATGGGGATATCGGCGTGACAGTTTCCATTCTTTGTGGTCCTTGATTTGTATACCTTACTTTAGAATAAAAACCTTACACTTGACTTAAAATTAAATTTGAGACTGACCGACTTAATAGATAGGAAATCCTCCTCAAATGATCATTGATTTAATCGACCCTTAATCATGGGTTTGACAAGACAAGAATCTATAAAATGTTCGCGCACTGAATGAAAATACTACACGATAAAAATGATGCTGGATATTCAGGTGAAACGTCGCGATAATCACGAGAGACAGCTGTGGAAAATATTAGGCTAAAAGTATTTACGAGTCTTTGTTTTTCTGGGTGTGATGAATTAGGGAACCGAGGGAAACATAGATCGCGGCGAGCCTCCAAGGTGGTGACTTCCGTTCGATTACTGCCACACAATTATCTATATTCTCTTTTTGTGCGCAAATGTCGCGACTTTAGCTAATCAGTCTAATGCTCTAATCTTGCTGTACTGAGCTTGTCTTGATTCCTTGATAGATTTAGGCGAGGGCTTCCAAGTATTGCCGAGAGATATGGAAAGAATTGGAGTTCTTTGGATCATTTTGGCTGTCATTGTCATCGCATTGACCTCGCAATCGGTAGGTGATTGTAGTTTTACCACTTAGCTATAAGTTTCTGTAAACTACTTCAGGCGCAGTGCGCGAATGAACTGATTTTGACCCAGTGATTTGAGCCACAGTTTATGATCAAACAGAAAAATCAAAGAGCGTCTTTTATCACTTTTCTAAGCCAATGTTGTCGATCATCTGTTTTGAGATGCAAGAGAGTAATGATGTTACATTTCGGCCAAATATCGAGACGAAGGCTGAAAATCTGAGAGTATTTGCATAGGACATGAAGCACCTCTTCGAGGTTTGAAATAGTTCCTCAAACCATAAATAAAAGAGAATGGCCAATTTTATGCTAATGAGGATGCCATGTCGAAACCACCGTCCCGGGAGTGAATTTTCTTTAATCAACGTTCAAAGTTCTTTATTTAATCTTATGTTTGAATTTCAGTAAGAATTTATTATTGACATATTCTCCCCCTCGCTGAGAGGCGGCTGGTCAAATTGCTCACCAACTACACTATTCTTTATTCGATATAAAAATTCAAAAAACTCGTTCCAAATATTATTACTTGAAAATCAGCTCTCAAAGATCTTTGTGATAAAAAGAGAAAAAATGCGCAAACCGAGAACTGAAAGCAACTGCGGGCTGAGATAGCCCCTACACCTTCACCCTTGGTTTGAATCAGGTTATCATAATGTTAAATGTAACTTGGACCAGTCGATGTGAATTGTTATAAAGGCACGAGATCATGGTCTGTCGTCCTTCCAGCGACTCAGGAGTAACAGCAACCCTAACTGCCTTCCTATGGCCTACAACTCATGAAAGGGTTGTCCATTTGGCGGGCTGTTTGAGGAAAGAAAGTTCTTTTATTTTGAATACCTGAGCCGGACCCGACACGCGAGTAGCGCCCTATGCCCCCTTGAGCTGCATAATGATTGAGTTGTTGATAATTTTGTTACTTAAGGGACACTCAGAGTGATCTTTACAAAGCTAGTTGTTTTGAAAACGTAGCGACTAGATCACGATGGTAACGAGAGGAATCTGAAAATACAATTCTTTTAAAGTACTTTCTTTTTATAAACTTTACAAGGGGATTTCTAAGCTTCAAACCAGATAAAAGGGTATCAAGGAAAATGTGATCCCTAAAGTATTTTATTGGGTGTAAAATGACGATTAAATGCCATAATCGGAATTCCTTGACCCGTGCAACGAAACTTTACTTCATGATGACATACAACATTTTTACAGAGCAAATACACTAGTTCAACTCGCTAAAAAAAAAAAAAGAAAAAGAAAAAAAAGAAAAAAAACACTTCTATAGACCTTTTCAACTATTTTCCAATTTCAGACCAAGTGTCGTTATCTTTGGAATAAGATATATTCTTTGTTTGCTCGTTGTACATACAACTATGTACACCGGAGGGCAAAGATACAATTTTCAAGGGAATGACACGTGGCCTGAAATGGGATTGACAAAATTACGCCCAAGCTGAAAAGGGTCATTATTTGACGAATGCTTAGGTGTTGTTATCATAATTAAGTCTAGTTGGAATTTTAATTCTATGTGATATGGTTGGAAAGAGAAAAGAGAAAAAATCAGATAAACTAGTATGTACGACAAACGTGTAACAACAGTTGACCAGTGAAAAATTCTTTTAAATTACTGAAAAGCAATCGCAAAGAAATCCATGTAGTAGGAAAACAAAAGACTAATATTTGTGTGTGGTGAGAAAGTTTGCAATAGCTAAAWTAAAATACAGGAAAACTGTGAAAACGTGGTCACGTTTGCCGTTTGTGGGATTGAAAAAATGGCAATCTAAAACTCTTTGTTATTGAAACTAATATTTCTCTCACCCTCTCTCTTTTTTCTCTTACTTTCTTTACCTTTCCTTTTCCAAACCTGGCAGCATTCGAATCCAACATTATTCAAAAGAACATTAAATGTTTCAGCAATTGTAATGAGAGTTAAAGCTTTGCCTTACTGACTGCTCTAGGTTTCTCAGGCATTTCTCCTTATCAAACTTAAAGGGTCAGGTTCAAGAGGTGAGTCTCTTATATACGGCACCCAGTACCCTCCAAGTGACATATTGAAAGATAAGCAGCGAGACATGGGAGGTTTTGCCTCGGATGTGGTATTCTTAAGAACGTCGGTTGAATGTTTACAAACACCCAAATCAATAAACAGCATAGAAAACAGAGTGTCGGCTTCAGCGAGGACATCCTGTTTTGCTATCGGTGGGTCGGCTATGCGCCAGGTCTTCAACAACCCAACCCAAAACCTGTCTGAGAATAATACCACAAGCATAATCAGTCTCCCTCCTGCAGCTAGATGCTATAGAACCTTCGCGACTTTGTTCTTAATTGCAAAAATGTGCCTTCCAGATTTTCTTCTGATGCAATGGTGAACTCGAGTAATTACTAAACGCCTCAAACTTTTCTTGGAACCATTGTATTCATAAGGATTTTGGTATACCCTGCTTACAGATCATAAGTTTATATCAATTTTTTATGTCTGATATTTTAAGACTAAGATAATAGTCATTTCAAACTAGTCGTGTTTGATACGAGGATGTGACCTTTTTAAAGTTTACCATACCTAGATCACATGTGCAAGAAAACGTTAACAATGTTTCTTTATTTTCTCTTTTGGACTTCAAAGCTTGTTGATTGTGTCAATTCTGAAGAATATTTTCTTGCGCGAAAAGAAGAATAACGCGAAATTCGAAAAGGGGATGACGAAAAATGGAAATCACTACAAAGTGAAAAAAATTCAATGATAAGAAGAAAAGATACTTGGCAAAGATACTTTATGAGGGTGGAGTTGGCTAATCCATATAATACAATTACGGTACAAAGGAAAGGGTTCCGTCTGTCATGACAAACATAATAAAAGCCATTTAAAAAGTTAAAAATGATTTTTCAATTTTAAGCTGAATTTCTGAATTAGCTCTAAGGCCCAGACGAATTACATGATCTTGGACGATTAAATCAAATAGAGAAAGTAATTTTTTAGAGGTTCGTGGCTAGAGATGTTTTTTCGTGATTGATCCCGAACGTGTACCCTAGGGTCCAAAGGTCATTCATTTTAGTCACGCAACACACACTAAGACTACGAAACAAAGGACTACTGGCGGGGGAGACTACTCGGGCTACAAATGTGTAAGCATTGATATGTTAAAATTTCGCCACACAAATATGCAATAACGACCTTTCGATCCATCTCAGAAAATTTCTTTATCCCAGAACTTAAAACGATTCTTGATTCACAGTATTTAAATCCGGACTCCAAATTCCTCAGCACTTCATGCACGATTCTGTCTTATAGGATATTTTACATTTGACTGTATTTGCAATTGTTTATTCTCACTTCTCAGTGACATTGTCAGTATTTGAAGACCTTTATGAAGCGGTTTCATACAAACACCCCTTTAAATGGCGTTGAAAAGATGCGGTTTTGGCTTACTTTGTTCTTTTTTCTCTCAAGGACGGAAGAGTAATCAGGAAAGATCAACTAGCTGGGAAAAACGCGCTTGGGAGAAAACTTCTTCAGGAAAATGGTAAGATTTAAAACTATAAAATAAGGTCTTTATATAAAATACTAAATTTGTAAATTTTTTAAACAGATGAGTTCATTTTGCAAGATGATGACATCGAAAGTAGTGGAACTGATGTAGATTTAACAGAGACACTGTATGGACCGACCACCTCCAGCGCAAAGAGCAATGTATCAAGAACACCACCACCAAGTTCTCCTGCACAAGAAACACAACCACAAAGTACTCCTGCACCAGAAACACGAGCACCAAGTACTGCTGCACCTGACACACAAGCACCAAGTACTGCTGCACCTGACACACAAGCACCAAGTACTGCTGCACCTGACACACAAGCACCAAGTACTGCTGCACCTGAAACACAACCACCAAGTACTGCTGCACCTGACACACAAGCACCAAGTACTGCTGCACCNCACCAAGTACTGCTGCACCTGACACACAAGCACCAAGTACTGCTGCACCTGACACACAAGCACCAAGTACTGCTGCACCTGAAACACAAGCACCCAGTACTGCTGCACCTGACACACCACCACCAAGTACTGCTGC